TTGTTGGATTTGCTAATTGAAAGTATGTAAAATGCCATGATTTAGAAAGTATGAGAATGTGATATTATGTGGGAATTCATATTTTAAGCATGCTTGAATAATGTGGATGAAATCTAGGAAGTATCTATATTGTCATGGCATTGAAGGATTTGCATAGTTCATGCTTTATCATTGGTAAAGTAAAAAAGGGAAAAGTTTGTTTTAAAGGGAAATTGTTTTTGGGAAGAGTTTTTGAAGTGTTAAGAAAACCCGGACGCCTAGGAGGCGCCTAGTGGTCCGTAGTGTTAGTGTGATCTAGAGGGGGGCTAGAGAGAGACTCTAGTGTGGTTGAGCTACCTAGGCCCAGACGATGCCATGGAGGTGCCATGTGGTCGAGGAAAGCTAGCCAACCCCTCCCTTGTGACGCCTTGGAGGTGCCTTGGATCGAATTGCACTAACGGTTTGGAGGATTGAAACGGTATTGTTTTGGAAATGGGGAGCGACATTGCATGGCATGGCATTGCATTGGCATACATTGTACATTTGGTGGTTAGACGACTTGAGTATGCATTGTTGGTATTATCGTTGTTTTGCTTGTTTTTCCCGAGGCATGACCCCACTTACTTGTACTCTATTCCTTATGTGGATTCATGGGGTCATAAGAAGTGTGTCTTAGACACTTCCTACTGAACTTATGCTCACCCCTTTATTATTAACATTTTTCAGGATACGAAAGGAGGCAGACGATGCTCCTCCACAGGTTTCGATGGGTTAGTGGACTGTTTTGACATATTTTGTAACTATGATCTCTTTTTATTATTGTTTTTACTATTTTTTTTTTTTTTTTTTTTTAAATCCTGGGATGACACGTATATTATGTATTGATGTAGGAAAGGACGGTAGTGTCCTTAGTTGACCTCGGGTTCAAATAAGGACCCGTTAGCGATTTGGACCCTCGGGTTCGGGTCGTTACAGTTCCCCTTTTGAACGCCTTTTTATTTCATTATTACTTATTAAAAAAAAGACAAAGACAACATTACGAGAGGCACGAATGCAACAGACAGAAAGATCATAACACAAAAAAACCTTTTGATGAGATGCATACCCAAGAAATGCACAGCGAGCAGATTGCGCATATAATTTGTTTCGATCTTGTGCAAGTAGATGGACATAACAAACACAACCAAAAACACGCATTGGTTATAGTTGGGATGAGCTTGATGCAAGCGAAAATATGGAGATTGATGCTGAAGCTTTGGAGAAGGCAATCTATTGACAAAATGCAAAGCTGTGGAAAGTGCTTCCACCCAAAAATGTGAGGGTACTGATGCATCAAGAAGTAGGGTCCGAGTAATATCCAAAAGATGCCTATTTTTCCTCTCGACTACTCCATTTTGTTGAGGAGTAGATGGACAAGTTCGCTGGGAAATGATTCCTTCATTTTGAACATAATTTTGAAATTCATTTTTCATATATTCGCCTCCGGAATCGGAATGAAGAATGTTGATGGATGTGGAAAATTGATTTTTTATGTAAGCCAAAAAACGCTTAAAGGCATCAAAAACTCCAAATTTAGAATGCAAAAAATAAATCCATGTGTGTCGACTATAATCGTCAATGAAGAAAACAAATTATTTGTGACGAGAATGAGAGGGAAATGGAGCATCCTCCCAAACATCAATATGAATCAAATCGAAGTATTATGTAGTAATGTCACCATGAATTGGAAAAGGAAGTCTTACTTTCACAAAATTTACAACTACTACAATCAAATGAGACATCATTAAAAGAAACAGGGTCTTTATTAGAAAAGAAACCAAATTTCAACAAGAACAACCACCTTTTGGCATTAGGATGCCCCAATCATTTATGCCACATCTGATATGAAGTACTAGAATGACAAAATAATGAAAACAAAGATTTATTCCTGGGATAGCTAAACAAGCTTATAGGAAACAACCTTCCACATTTAGGTCCCTTCCCGATCACTTTCCCCGACTCCTGATCATGCATAATACATCCAGATGTAGAAAATGAGACTTTGCAGTTGTTATCAACCAATTGACCGACAAATATAAAATTAGAGGTCAAACATGGTGTATGATAAACATTATGTACTGGCAAAGAATGAGGGATATCACCACCTGACTTAATGGGAAGATGTTCTCCATTAGCAGTATGAATTTGCACATTTCCCACATATGGTTTCACATTAGTTAGATGTGTTGAGGAAGAGGTCATGTGATTTGAAGCACCAACATACCAAATAGATGAGGATGTAGTTTTACCTGTGAGACCAAGAGCAGAAAATGCAGAATGAATCATTTGTTGCACTACCTCTGGAGTTAAGGAACTAGAAGCAGTAAAAGCTTGAGGAAGCTGCATAGTCGTAGGCTCATAGCAGCAGAGGGAGAACCCACTGCGGTGGTAGCATTGAAAGCCTGAGATGTTCGATTTTGAGGTCGCTTACGACAATCAACAATTAAATGTCCTGACTTCTTACAGTAGTTACAGAATTTTTTCTTACACTGATTGGCTATATGCCCATATTCCTTACAACTATAACATTGCATTTTGCTCAAATCCCTTCCTTTAGCCTGAGCTGCATAAGCTACATCCAGTGGATTAGTGCCAACACCCTTTTGTTCAATTGCAGCTTGAGTCAAACAACGTTCTTCTTCTCGGAAAAGTTCACAAAAGCACAATGCACATATCCAATGATGGAGAAGGATCTCTAGCCATCAGATTTGAGCGAATGGATTCAAAATCACGTCTCAATTTCATAAGAAACTGATCTCTTTTGAGTAATTACATGCACTTTTTGAAGAGATGGTAGCCCCTCACTTGGGACAGTAGCATAAATTAGTTGCTTATATTCAGCCCAGAGATTCATGAATCCAGAATAATAGTCTTGAATTGACATATTCCCTTGGGAATATTCAGATATGTCCAATTCAAGCTGAAAACGCCTCCCAGGCTTTTCTTGATTGTAAATCTTTTTTAGATAACCCCACATATCTTTAGCACTGGAATAAGGCCGCAAATTGAGTACAATATTAGAATCTACTGAGCCTAAAATCCAACTAATTATCTTGGCATCATTAGACTCCCATTTAGCTATGCTAGCATTTTTAGTCCCAGCTTTTGGTTCTGGGATTGATCCATCTATATGTCCCCACAATTCTTTCCCTTTAACAAACATACGGAATTGAAACTCCCAAGAAAAATAATTCTTCCCATTCAATTTAATGGGCAAGATTTCTGACTTTTCTGACATTCTACAAAAAAAAAACTTCAAAAGAGACTCAAACAAAAGAGAAAAGATGAATGAGAACCTAAGATGATGCTAACTGCAATTCTTGACTACAACTCAAACCAAGATTGTCACCAAAATGCGGCAACTCCTTAGAAACAAGACACCATAGCTTTTAACAAAACTGTGATGTATCTTATCAAAAGAAACTTAGAACGTCTTTTGTACCAAGCTAGGCTCTAATACCATGACAAGACAGAGAGAACAAAGAGAATTTCTGAGAAAACACGTCTGCCTTTCCCTTCGGGAGACTTCCTTTATATAATAATATTTACTATTCTATACAAGGAATGCTTACAACAATCATATCCCAAGATTTTGGGTATCCACAAATAATATTCCTAACTACAAGCAATCTGTAAATCATCTAAATTGGAATGGAATCCCTAATTATAAGCTATCTTACAACTCATCAAATCATCTAATTTTGGTATGCAGATCACCTCCTCTGATACCTCTGATAGCACAAGACTTTTCAGTTCTGAAATCACTAACATGACTTTTGTTATTGAATTAAATGCCCATGGATAATTTTTTTTAATCCATATACCAATTTGTAAATGGCTATAGAAAATGGGTTAATCCATATACAAACCCAATTTTTTGCTCCATATACCAAATGCTTCAATCCGTTTGTAAAAAAATGGATTTCCCTACCCCCCTCCTCCCTCATCTACCCATTTCATTCTCCCTCTCCACCCCGTTCCTCCTTTGATAATTAACATATTAAATTAAATTTCTTAGTTCCCTTTCTCCCTCTCCACCCCATTCCCTTTCTTAATTCATCTATAATTTTCACAATTTTGTATATCTCCATTGTTTTTATAAATTGGTACTGTGGTGCTTACAATTGATTAATAATATTGTTAGGAAACTAAAACTACATAATTTAGAGCCTACCACCTCTTTTTCTTTTTTTTTTCTTTTTTTTTTTTTTTTCCATTTATCCATTCATTTTCAAAGAATGAATAGCGTCTCAAAAACAGCACTTTATTCTGAAGAAAAATTTACCACAGCATGGGAAACCCACTTCAGTTTCCAACTATTACAGAAGTGATTCTGAACATAGTCAAGCAGCTGTAGTAAATTCTATGATTGGACCTGCTCAATCTCCGAAGATTAGCATAAATGCTCTAAATTTTCAAATAAAGCTTTGAGAACAACATCATCAACCCACATAATGCAGCTGCTCTCCGTTCAAGAAAGCTGGAAAGTGTGGCACTGGAAACCAGCTATAGTCATTCAAGAAATGGAATGAAAAAATCTTTATCAATCAAATTTTCTAGTCAGGTGACAGGGTATGCATTGAACCTTTTTCTTATCAGACTCCCAAAGAGTGATCAAATCACTGATCAGTGGGCCACACCTTTTTCTGTAGAAAATGTATGCTTCTTTGACAGCTGACAATAACACAAAAAATTCAACAATATATATATATATTCTTGATAAGTAACAATATATATTAGCATATGTGCCTGTATTAATGTAAGTGCACATAGGCGCTCTAGTACAGCAGCTCAAACCATAACATATTTAAAATTTAGCAGTCTTGCTCTCAAGCTCCATGGTGAGGACACTTAGTTCCTATGCATATCTTATGGATTCTATTTCGTCTTAAAAAACATAACTTTGCTTATTTATTCACCACACTATGTAATTGACAAGATCAACATTGCAAATAATCAATAGCAACATGGCAATGGCATACCTTGATAGAGTGCACTTCCCTGTTGAGGAAATTATACCCTTCAAAACTGCATATTCTTTAGATAAACCACCCAATTTTAAAAAGTCCATGCTAGCTTTGATATCCTTACGTTCAAGCTCCACACATGGTGAATCTTTCTTCTGTGGAGTTCCCAATGCAGAATGAGGCGGTGAGCATATATACACTTTTGTTCCATGGTCTATAAAAAAAGCATCTTTCACATGATCTATTATATCGGGAGCCTGAATGAACAAATCACATTTACTTTCATCCGTCATATCCTGATTGGTACTATTTGCTGAAACTGCATTAGCAGCTACAACCTGCAAAATGCAGAGCTTTGAAAGTATTGGGATGGTTACAATATTTCCACAAAGTAGAGTACGTGCATATAACCATGAAGCAGTGCAGGTCTGTAGTAGTTTCTTTGAACTTTCATCCCCTAAGACTTCTCTTATATCAAATGAATCCGACGACATCCCATATGGATTAGGTAAATTTGATACCGACTCTTCACATCTTGGTGAACATAGTTGACTAGTATTAGGCGAACTAAGTCTTGACTGAGAGAACAATGGTGTCTTAGGGGATGAAACCTTTCCATTTTCTACTTGACCTCGGGTTGCTTCTGCAGGAAAATCATTGCGAGGCAACAGAGAACTCTTCACCGTAAATCCACTCTCTGAAGAAACTAGCTCTAAATATAACTCCTTGCACTTGTATAATGAGAGGCAATTAGATGTTGTGCTATGCAGCTTGTCATTCTCATTTACAAGATCCTTTGCAGATTGACATTGAGTAGGAAATACAAACATGATCCCGCCTAAAGAAGGACAACCCAATGTACATGAAAGGTTTGAAGACAATCGCACTCCATTCTTCAAAACCTGCAAAGAAAACAATAGTTATATGCAGATCCAAGCCCTATTATGTAATGCATCGTTATCTTAGTAAAGAGTAGCAATATTAAGTACTAAGTACAGAAAAAAATATTATAATTTATACATGCAAATAAAAGCAAATAAGTAAGCCCATAAATGGATGATATAAGAAACTGAAAATCAGTAGTCCAAAACTTCACTACAAAAGTAAAAATCTTCTCTCAACACCAGCCCCAAAAATATATGGTAGAGATAAATTTTATTTTATATGTAGTAAAGACATTTGAAAATGTTGAATTATGTGGCTCAAAATTATTACAACCCAACTTGCACAAAGCTTACAAGAGAATGAAGTATATTGGCTACAGAAGTGTGATGGTGAAGCTTCCAAATTAGCTTCCAAAGGAAGCTTTGAAATTCTTGGGCAACAAGAATTATTCTTGGGAAGCAAGTGTCATTTGGCTTCCAAAGGAAGCTTTGAAATATTCTTGGACACCAAGTATTTTTGGGCTATATATAGCCTTGCACACATTTGATGAAAGGCATCCGAAATCAATTGAGTGAGTGTATCAATATATTTTGGAGTAAGGGGCCTTAAGTGTAATTGGGTTTTGGGTGTGAGCCACTTTGCCTTGTATCTCTTTATTTCCATAATGAAATATTGTTCTGTCTTCTCCCTGTGGACGTAGGCATAGCTGAACCACATAAATCCTTGTCACGTTTGTGTGTGTGCTATTTATTTTTTCTTGTCATTTATTTTTCTCTTGTTCTCATAAACTCCTATTCGATCCTTATTTCATAACAAATTGGTATTAGAGCTCGGGTTCGTGTATTGTGTACAAATACTATTCATACGTACGGTGTTGTTCACAGATACTATTCGGGTACTGTTCACAAATACGGTATTTACCGAGAAATATTTTGGGGAGTTTTTTGAGATGTCGACCAGATACGAGATTGAGAAATTTGATGGCAAGATTAGCTTCAGTCTTTGGCGCATTAAAATGCAGGCCTGCTAACTCAGCAAGGTCTAAAAAAGGTGTTGTTCGGGAAGGACAAGTTGCCAACAACTATGTCCAATGAAGACAAGGATGAGGTCAATGAAAAGACGCGCAGTGTGATTCTTTTGAATCTAGCTGATGAGGTGCTGCGTGAAGTTATTGATGAAGACACGGCGGCAAAGTTATAGCTAAAATTAGAGAGTCTGTATATGACGAAGTCTCTCACCAACAGACTCTACCTGAAACAGAGACTCTACACCCTTCGTATGAAGGAAGGTATGCCTCTTAAGGAACATATTGATAATTTCAATTCTATTATTATGGATTTGAAAAATATTGATATTAAAATTGATGACGAGGATCAAGCCCTTATTTTGTTGTGATCTTTACCTCCATCCTATGAGCATTTTGTTACCACATTGCTTTATAGAAAAGACACTATTAGTATGAAGGATATTAAATCCTCATTGAACTCTCAAGAGTTGAGGAAAAAGATGTCTAGGAATATTGGTGATGAACAGGCCGAGGGTCTATTTGTAAGAGGCAAAAGTGAGATAAAGAATTCTGGCAGTAGGGGCAAATCTAGATCTCATAGAAATGTGGAATGTTACTACTGTCACGAGATAGGGCACATCATCAAGCACTGTCCCAAATTAAAGGCAAAGAATGGGAATGGTAAAGAGAAGGTTCAAGAAGCAACTTCTGTAGCAATTGCTACAACGAGTGATTCAGAAAGTGACGAATATGTTCTCATGACAACCTTGTGTTCAGGTATGTCATTTAGTGATAGTTGGATTCTTGATTCTGGTTGTTCCGTTCATATGTGAACCAATAGGGATTCTTTCTCTTCCTATAAAGAGGTAAAAGGTGGTTCGATTTTAATGGCGGACAGGAAAGCTTTCAAAATTTTGGGAATTGGAACAGTCAAGACCAAGACGCACAATGAGTTGGTGAGAACATTGTCAGATGTGCAACATATACCGGATCTGAAGATGAATCTTATTTCAGTAGGTGTGCTAGACTCCAAAGGTTACAAGGTTGTAACATAGGGTGGAGTAATGATGGTTATGATGGATTCTCTTGTGGTGCTACAAGGCATCAAGGTGAAAATTTTGTATCTTCTCTAAGGGAATACAGTAACAGGTAGAGCTTCTACAGGGTCTTCTACAGTTAGCAGAAATATGCATTCGGGTCTTGGCAAAAGAAGAGTTAGAAAGAGGAGTTACGATCCTAGTTCTCAAAAGGGTTATAAGGGGACTACATAACGTGGTGGGAGAATGAAATCCGTTTTTAAATGGCAACCGAAATTGCAGCAATCCTTACAGGGAGGCAGACCCATGAGGACAGGGGTGATATTGACTTGCAATAATCTTGGTGGCAATGAGATAGTCCATTCGAGTGCCATTAAGATGCGTGGGAGGCAAGTAATTAGTCACAATAGAGATGCGAGGAAAAGTCAAGGACGTCCTATTCTCCATAAGGGTGAGAAAATGACTTTTCATTACCAACCAGTGGTTTGTGGGCAGTTGGAGAAGGTTGCTGAAGGAAATGCCAAACTTGGAGTTTCTAAGGGTGTTTTTGGTAAGCGCTTAGAGTTTGACAAAAATACTTAAGGTATGCTTGTGGCTGCGCAAGACATGCATGAGTTGAAGAATGAAAGCCCGAGGGTTATGTTTAAGGATGACTTAAACTTAACTAAAATTCTTAATTAATTTGTTTTGTGGAGAAGACAGATTGTTTAGTAGAGATACAGTGGCTCATTTGGAATTTTTTGGCCAAGGTGGAGATTTGTTGAATTATGTGGCTCAAAAAATTATTATAACCCAACTTACACAAAGCTTACAAGAGAATGAAGTATATTGGCTACAGAAGTGTGATGGTGAAGCTTCCAAATTAGCTTCCAAAGGAAGCTTTGAAATTCTTGGGCAACAAGAATTATTCTTGGGAAGCAAGTGTCATTTGGCTTCCAAAGGAAGCTTTGAAATATACTTGGACACCAAGTATTTTAGGGCTATATATAGCCTTGCACACATTTGATGAAAGGCATCCGAAATCAATTGAGTGAGTGTATCAATATCATTTGGAGTAAGGGGCCTTGGGTGTAATTGGGTTTTGGGTGTGAGCCACTTTGCCTTATATCTCTTCATTTCCATAGTGAAATATTGTTCTGTTTTCTCCCCGTGGACGTAGGCATAGTCGAACCACGTAAATCCTTATCTCATTTGTGTGTGTGCTATTTACTTTTTCTTGTCATTTATTTTTCTCTTATTCTCATAAACTCCTATTCGGTTCTTATTTCATAACAAAAAAGGGTAGGTGTGGAAGATCCATAACATACCACACAAGGTTGACAACAATAAGGGTTCTTTTGGTTAGCGTGAAGTAGATAGAAAAGAAAAGAAACAGAAAATATTTAAATTTGTTAGGAGTTTGGTTAGCATGAAAGACAAAATTTTCAGGAAAGTAAATTTCTCACAACTGCTTAATTTTCCTCAACATGTTTCTCGCATAAAACACAGGGACTTTCCCGTAAAAGTGGTGCCATCATATCTTAGTTTCCTATTATGTCCATGTCACCCTCCTTCACTTTCTCCACAGACTTGACTAATAGGTGAGTTTCAAATTGCTTATATGATAATGTAATACTAATTTAATTGTATATAGTTTTATATGTGCATACAAAATTAAAATTTTATTGTATTTTTTTCCCTTCCATAATTAATAAAGATTGAAAGTGCTATATACATGCTAATATATATATATATATATATATATATATATATATATATATATATATATACACATATATATAAATCTGAGTATTTAGGAGCAAAGTGTTGGGTGAAAAATTAGGATTAGTGTTCGTTGATTTCTTCTTTACGTATACAAGTTTTGAAATTACAATTTAATTCATACATGTACTTTTTTTATACATAAACATCGACTTTAGGACTCTAGGTATATTAGATGTACCAAACTAATTTAGTTCTAACTCTATATATTTTAGATGTACCAAACTAATTAAGTTCTAAGTACTTTATTTCTTTTAGACTGAACTTTTTTTTTCTTTTATCTATGACTAAAAGCGCATATATATATATATATATATATGTATATGTATATATATATATATGTATATGTATATATATATATATGTATATGTATATATATATATATGTATATGTATATATATATATATGTATATATATATATATTAACTTCAACCTTTTATCCTCAAGATTTTTTAGAGCAAATTTTTTTATTAATTAAACTTGCACCTATAATCACATATATCCATTTATTAAACATAAGAAGACAAATACTATAATGTTCATTGTTTTATCCTTGAACTTGAAATTTAAATTTTGTTCATAATTCAGGAGATAAGTTGAGTATGAAGTAATCTTATAATTAAAAGGGTAGTTTTGGTGACTACAATCACTTTCTTTTCACTTTCATACTTTCCAAACTCACAAAACAATATTTTCTCACAACTTTCTTGAAAAAATTTCTTGCTAACCAATTGCATGATGAAAACTTGATTTTCTTTTCCTTCCCTTCACTTTCACTTTCCATAAAAAAAATTCGTCTAACCAAACGGACCCCAAGGGGAATTAAACAAAATATTAGCAATAATTTCCATGGTGAATGAAATCCAAAAATCAAACACTTCTAGAAATATCAGCCCAAGAGTGCCACAGCCACCAAATGGTACTTCACATTATATGCAAATATTTGGACAACATTCAAATTCACTTGTCCTTACAGTACCTCTATTTTGGCAACATGCTGAGATTATTTTCAATTAAAAATAGAAAAGCATCACCAAACTAAAACCATCATAATAATTAAGTAACAAAAGACCATTACAATTAATACAAGAACAATAAAATTATGCGGAAAATTTCTGAACCCTTTAGTTAAAGTGAAAAGAACCTTCACACCTAAGTTTATCTTGATCAAAGAGAGACTCAAATTTTTGTCAGAAACTATACTTTTTAACCTGAAGAAGATTAATAATCCATGTGGGGCTTTAAGCAGGACCCTTACACTAACCCAAATGTTCCTAAAATTATTGCATGCATTCGCCTTCTTAAGTTTATAAATCGTAAGTAGTAGTGTAGTACAAAGAACAAAACAAGGTAAGACAGTATGTGTTTATGTTATTCAAACCTTACAGGAAGGAAAAACTGTAGCTAGAGCAAAGTAGTTCCCCACTTGAGCAACCATTTTATCCCGATAACCAAGCTCTGAATGTCTTGAAAATTCATCTGCTAATGGAATGAGAGGGATGTCACTTGAAATTTTATTTCTTGTAGAAGCAAGTGAGACCTGTCAATGAATCAATACAAACATTAAGATTGTGCAATGGAATAATTTCTTATTAAAAACTCTGAAAAGATTCAGAAATCAGAATGGCACAGATAGATTAAAATTTTGAAAGAAACAAATAGAAGTATGATAGGGCAATTTAGAAGTCAAAAAAAAAAGAGAAACAAAACATAAAAGAAAGCTTAATAGTTCTAGCATATCTCCCTTACAAGAAAATTGAGTGCTTCCCATGGTTACAACTAAACAAACTTCCAGTAGACCTTCACAATATTCTATGACTTGAAATAGAAGGGCAATTAAAACTCAGAACTTGAATGGGTCAGTATCTCTTACAATAAGTTACATCTGACATTACGGTTCATCAATAAGATACAATAAGATAAATAGGTCCAAAAAAAAAAAAGGGTTATCTCTGATAATCACGTTACGGTTCATCAATAAGATACACCTGACAATTGAAAGACAGAGAAAAATTATCAAAGTTAAAGGAGGAAAGAACAATATCAATCTTCACAAATAAAAAGGACCCGACCTTTTCTCCTGAAAAAGAAATAAGGAAAAAGGAAAGATTCCTTACAAGCAAAGAGACCAATAAATAAAGGTGTACAAAATAAAAAATAAAAGAGTTTCCTACTCGGGGTGGCGCAAACCAATGAGGAATTATTCCCTTAAGCTGCTACCTTTGCCTTGCAGATTATTCATCTTGAAATCCAAGCAATAAAACAATCAAAACACTAACTTAATTAAAAAGCATTCATGAAGTAATAGTGATATATCTATAGGCATTGAAACTTCAATACACTGGAACAGCCTTCCACCTGCTCAAAGGCTTGACATAATCTTCCCCATTGTTGACTGCTTTAAAAGATTCTACTTACCTTGCTGGACTTGTGAAAGCAAAGGCAGCATAGAAATCATAGAATCTTAAAACCAGACACTAACACTAATCTTAAACTTTAAGACGGCTTATGGCATAGTTTTACCTTTTATGTGTCCAAAAAAGTAGTCAAACACGTCTATCATGTGCAAGAGATATTAGACATGGACATTCTTGATATCTAGAAAAAATATAACAGAACACAGACACCATGATACTTTATAATAATCCCACCATATGTATTGATGAATAAGTAAAATAAGTTTTTGCAAAAGCTTTTAGGGAAAAAAAAAGTATCCTATGTATTGATGAATATAATAGGCTTCAAAAAAGTAAATAGCAGACCCCAAATAGTTAAGAAAAAGCTTTGTTGAGTTGTAGCTTTGGAATAAAACTATCATTATCAGTATTGTTTAAGAAACTAAAATAAAATTCTACCAAATATTTCAATTTTTTTTTTTTTTTTTTTTTGGGCAACACTGCGTCTCAAAATGAGTATTGTTATTATTATTTAATTGCTTCTTTTTCCTGATTACTAAGAAGTTCAAAGTCACTTGTTTCCTATTTCCTCCTGAGATGCATCTCTTTAAAAATGAAAGACAAAAGGTACTAAGCTCACACATAGGAAGCATATGGAAGAGCTATGTCTCGATCACTTTCCTTAAAGAGATGGGAACATTTTGATCCCAAACCCCTTTTTAGATACAAATGAAACAATTGCTGCAGTTTAACAACTGAAGGATCATTGTTTCACTGGAACATGTAGTGATCCGATTATGTATGAATTGTAGATTTCTTTTGAGTAAGTTTCTCCCTACCACATTCTATTTTCTTTCTACATAAAATCTTGTCAAAGTCAAACCTAAGCTGAAATCATAAATGGGATGTCCAAAACCTAACAAATTAAATCCATGACGCAATTTCAAAGATATTTCAGATGAAATATTACAGTAGTAGATAAATAAACAGCAAAAATGAGAAGCTGTGAAGTACCGATACGATGGAACCGGGAGCAACGGATAAGGCAACCATACAAGATTCTGAGAGCCATATCTTACATCCTTTGGACTCAGCCTCAATATCTGTGATACGGCCAATAAAAGCAGATCTGCCGATCAGAGAAGGGAACTTGCTTGAAGCTTCCTCAAGAGAAAAAGGGAGATTCTCTTCACTAAGTTCCTGCATTGGGAGAGGCGTCACAGATGACGAACTACGGGGAGATGGAGATGCAGTCTGGTCAGAATGTGAGAGTTTGGACGCTGTCTTTGAATGCTTCATAGTCTTTGAAGGCATCTTCCTCTACCTCACTGGTTACCTTTCTGGCCTCAAAAATAAAGATATCAGAAACATGCAAAAGGCAGTGAAACTTAAGGGAAGATCGATGATAAAATGATGAAAATCAACCACGGCCAATGATATTAACCACTGAAGGAAAGTGGAAAGAAGACAGACTAGTGGAACAACAATAACTAGTAAAAGGTATTATTTGTCAGTTGTATCTATAGCAAACGCCAAACATAAAATACCAATTTCATCTTTTATATTATATCAGATGAAATGTGTGTGTATTGTGTATATATACATATATAAATATTTGATTGAAAATTCTAGAATTGTTTCTTCTCTTCCATGTTTTCTCTCAGAAACCTGAATTGCCATTGTGATGATTTAGATTGCTTTTGAAACAAAATCTTGCTACCCAAAACATGAATTCAAGACATCGCTGTGCAGATAATCAACAAATCTTTTATAACCATCAAAAATCATTCATTACCCAAACATCACATCACATGGATACTATGGTCATCCCATATTTCATGGCCCAATTAAATTAATCAAAATTAATTAACAAATGCTATGATAATTATTATTCTTTCCTACTCAAATTTGTATTCAATTTGACAAAGGTTATTGCCCAAAACGTTGTGTGTAGATGAACATACAATAATTATAAAAGAAAGCTGGAAACAACAAAGGAAAATAGAAAGAGATTATCCGTTCTTTCATTCCCGAGAAGTCAGTTCCACTGCTCTGCTCTGCTCGTTGTTCTGTAACTTCTGACCTTGGTGTACAACTATGAAGCACGGACACGGGACAAGGTTATGACAGGATTATTCCCAAAACAATAGGACACGGAAACGGACAAGGCAGGGATACAAAATAATATAATATATTAATATATGTACACAGTAGCCAAGCAGATTTCCTTGATTTTGGTTTGTCAATTTGAATTAGTGTTAGTTTTTTCCTTCAATTTGAGAATGGCTTGTCAATTTTATTTTATTTATTCTCTTTAATTGCGTGCACTTGTCTCTGGACTGTGAGTTTGGTTGCCAAGCAGATTTCCCCCCGTTTTTCCCTTTGCTCTGAAATTCCTTGAACATATATATAAACATGCTATAATATTACACTAAACTAGTATCGCATTCCAAATACGCTATTTATTTTCAACATAATAAAAACACACAGATATACCTACGTGTGTGTGTATATATATATAGACAAGCAACAAAGAAGCACAAAGTCATACACACATACATAGAGATTAGAGAGTTAAACATACACATAAGCATAGAGAAAAAAATTACAGTAAATAAAGTATGAGAGGTATGAGAGTGCAGTGAGAGGTATGATAGTTGAGGAAGAGGAGAGAGGGAGAGAAAAGAAACCTACCTAGTGAAGCCGCAGGAAAACGCTTGGTAGTAGACGCCGGAGAATGCTGGTAGTAGACGCTGGAGATAGAAATCGCCGTTGCAGTGGCAAGGATTCGCTTTGGAGCTAGGGAACAGGATGTTCGGCGCTATTTTGGTATTTTTTTTTTTTTAGTTTTGAACTTTTAAAATTACATTTGGTGCCCAAATTTTATTTTATTTTTTTTTTTTTTGGTGTGCAAGAAGCTCTCTTGCTATAAAAATAAAAAATAAAAAAAATGTGCAACAAACACTTTTATTAAAAATAAAAAAATAATAAAAAAAAAAATTCAATATACCCCTTTGTATTATCCATCTTTTGAGCAAATGGCCCATAATCATCAATTTTGACTAAACTTTTTATGAATATTCCAAAATTTCATTTTATTTTTTCTTTTATCTGTCACTCTCTTTCTCTCTCTACAATAGAATCACATTCTTCCCTTCCAACCATTCGGAAATCATGTGAAGCATTATTTTCTTACTCATATTATGAGGAGTCCATAATTGGGAAACATGGAGTAAAAGCCAGAGTTAAGGAAATCTCACCCACTTATGCGATTTCTCAACTCGTTATCCGAAATCTTGGTCCTTGCATAGTTAAAAATATGAACTTCATTTGGTGGCAAGAATTTGTGTGAGCGAACCATATTAACATCGAAAAGTTGACATAGGACTGCATGTTCCGTAGAAGGACAAAAAAACACAATCTATAATAGAAAATAAGAGAAATCATTAATTCCTGATTTCCCAAGTGAATTGTTATAGAGGGGCTTCTAGTGACTATTCCCACAGTCAATGCATCTAGCGTACGACTGCTTGTCGCAAAACCCACATCATCCAAACACAGTAGCCAAAATCCATCCCGACCCATACACCACGGTCGGCTACTATCTACACCATATATGTACATATCAAACATACCAAATATTTTTCTTCTTTCATTATTATTTTTTTATTTCAAACATTTTCCTTCTTCATTATTAATTTTTTTTTTCTTTTATGGGGATAGTTTAGACATTTCAATTGCTAAATTGACATAATGTCCTTATTTACACAAATTAAAACAACGAGGGTTAATTGCACATTTTGTATATCATATGGGTGTTTTTTGCACTTAACTCTTAAAAAAAATTACAAAATATACCCCGCTGTGTCCTATCAGTTGTTTAGGGCTGCAAATGAACCGAGTTAGGGCTCGGTTTGTTAAAAGTTCGGTTCCGGCTCGTTTATTAAGTAAACAAGTCGAGCTTGAGCACATCTTTTAGGTTCGTTTACTAAATGAGCCAAACTTGAACAAAACTAAGCTCTACTTAAGAGCAAGCTCGTTTAACTAAAGGGCCATAATATTTTAAATTCTTATACATGTAAGCCTAAACCCAATAATACAATTTTAGCCCATGTTCATAAATCTTTAAGAGCCAATGAATTCTATTACATTTAAAAGCCAGGCTATATGCAAATTATCCCCATTAGCCCAACGACAACATCAGCTTTATGCATCCCTTTCAATTAGGGTTGCAATTCGAGCAAGTTGGGGGAGTTTGAGGTATAACTTGACCCCAACCCACCATATAAAATGCTAAACCCAAGTCCAAGTCCAACCCTAACCCTATTCTCAACTTTAACTACTCAACCCAAACCCAACCCATCCTTCTACTTTTAAATTCAGGCTTAGATTTCAGGTAAAAACTTTGGATTAATTCGGGTTACTCATATGGCTAATCCTTGCACTAAAATTTTAATATGATCTTAAATTAGTTTTAGATTAAAGTACTCTTAAACAAGAAAAAATTTAAAGACTTTTTGTAAATTTTTAATAAATTGCAAACAAATTTTTAGAAAATTAATTCTCCTAAATGTTAACAAACAATAAGTTAAGATTTAATAAAAGAAGTTGAAAAGAAAAAAAGTAATCATAATTTAAATATTATATATAATGTATTTAAAAGTAAATATATATATGAAAATAATATTAGAATTCGGGTTCGGGTTGACTCGGGTTGCTAGCACTTCAACCCAAGCCCAACTCTAATTAAATTCGGGTTGAAATTTTTCAACTCAAGCCCACCTCTAATTGTAAAAATGATTGTCCAAGCCAGTAAAAAATTAGGTTAGGCTCGGGTTAGGTTTGGGTTACTCAACCCAAGTTGCACCCCTACTTTCAATGACAATCTCAACGTTATAATGACTCGGTCATTTTCCTTCCTTTCCTTTTTCTCGGATTTTCACGGATATTTTTTTCCGTTGTTCTTTTCCTTTTTGAGTTCAGTTTCCCGTCACTTAGTGTCATCTCGAATGCTCTAGAATGATTTATGAGACTATTTTCCTTTGATTGACAACTTCCTTTGAGGACCGTATCATTTTCACATTTTCATTTTTCGGACACTATTCACTTTTCGTCCTTTTCCCGATTTTGTCTTTTCCCCGTTTGTCACTTTGTTGGCATAGCCTTACTTTTTGTGTTCGGAGTTGAATTTTGACTTCACGTATCTTCATTCTAAGTGGTTTTCATGAAATACGTATCTTTACTTTTGTAGAAATGTACTCTGATTGCTCCCGGTGTCCATAGGTGCATGGATGCATAGTTTTTCAGAAACTTTTTCTTTTCTTGTGTTGTTTTTCGTAAATATCTTTTGAAAATATTTTATTTCAAGGGTTTCTAAGAAAATATTTTTTGAAGATATTTTCATTTTGGGCAGTTGTACAGTTTTCACTTTTTGGAGGAGCCATTGTGCAATTAATGAAAGTTATTACTAAATACTTTGTTTTGAGCCTGGATCCTCGTACATGATTCATTTTCACTATTCATCCAGTCTTGTACTCTTAGAATTCCCTTCTGGTTGTTTTTCTCCAGTTTCAGGGTTTTTGGCCCAGTTGCCGCCGAACTTGTTCGGGGAATATCTCTCTGTTCATGACTCGATTTTTGACGTCGTTTCTTTCATTATTCATATTTACTCATTTTGGTTCTTTTTCGTTCACGGTGTTTTGTCGTTTGAGCTCGTCTGCGCGAATTCCACTTCTTCGGACCCGGTGGGGCCCGTTCGGGAAACTTTTTGAGTTTTTCTATAAATAGGGAGTCTTTAATTGAAAAATCAAATTTCACTCTCTCTCTCCCCTCTCTTGGCCGAATTCCATGGCAGCCAGGGGTTGCCACCTTCTCTCTCCTCTTTTGAATCTCTTCCTCTTAGTGAAACGTCATAGTGCCTTAGTGTTTTATGTTTGCCTTGGCGAGGCCTTCAATTCCACTGATTGGAATCTCGTTTTGGCCATTTCTTAAGTTTGGGTTTGAAGTCAAGTTGTGATTTTGATGGGACTTCCTTGGGGTTTTTGTTCACCGTGTTGTCCCCGATGAAACATAGAAGTATCGTCGAATTCAGAATGGTTTCATTTTTGTGGCTTTTGAGATTTTCATCTCAAATTGAGGTAAGGGGTGTTTTAAGATTTTGTATGTGTTGTATTGAGTATTTTCCATAATTATACAACTTGTTTGCATGCCTTGTATCAAATTTAGAAAATTAGTAATATTTATTTCTTTGTATAAGATTTAATTTACAAGGATATATATAGTTTAGAATTGAATTGTGGCATAATGATAAATTATACTTTGATATGTTTGTTAACATATATTAAATTGGAATTATTTGAATAAGAATTGCACTTTTTATTAAATAATTATCTTTTTGTGAAAGTTTAATTCTCATTGATGTACCTTACATGAAATTAACTTGTGATATACTTTTAAATTAAGTCTTGACATGTTCTTTAACATACTTTAATTTGAGAGCATTTGGATAAGTATGAAAATTTAGAGATTTTAATTAAAATGATTAATTAAAATATATTTAATGGTTCCATTGGCTTAATTAAGTTTTTAACTTGATATTTGTGATGACTAGGGCTTGTATACTAGCATATGTTAATTTGGGACCATTTGATGTTGTTTTAGAATTTAGGGATTTGATTATCATGATTTAATTAAATTCCATTTTTATTGTTCAAATCACCTAATCAAGTTTTTGAATTGATATATGTAATGATCAAGCTATGCTGTATAACATATATTAAGTAGGGACCATTTGGTTGAGATTTTAAACATAGAGAAATTGATTGTTTTATTTAATTAATTTCCGTTTCTATTGTATTACTAATTAAATCATGTGGTTGACATTGGTATTATGATTGAAGCATGATTTTAAACTTATAATGGATTTATAAGTTTATGTTTTCAATATTGGATTATATTGTTATAGCGTGTAACGAATTGCACACTAAAGATTCGACATGTGATGTTGTTATAGTGTGTAACGAATCGCACTCTAAAGATTCGACATTGTCATCCTACAGTAGTTGTGAATTTAGAGTATGTATTGTGTGGTTTCAACCTACTTGTGCATGGAATGTAGTTTCATGCTTTATATATATTTCGTATATAAGTTGTTAACTTATTTATTTTGGAGTCACCTGGGACATTGTTACATTGAGACGACTAGGGTTTGGCTTTAGTACAAGGACAAGAGTCCTCTAAGTCGTTTGTGCGCACGGGGTAGTCTTCCTAGCGGATCAGTGCCCGGAATAACCAAATAGGTCTTGGTACTCCGAGATTTGATGTCCAAGTCTTCCACTATTTGATATTGCACTTTTAGATTTCTAGTTGATAACTTAGAGAATCTATGTCTTAATGTATGGTATTAGAAATTCTAATTATACTAAATTGCTATATTTAGTTATTTTCACACCTTTAAATTTCAAGTTGATAACTTAGAGAATCTATGTTTTGATGTGTGGTATTAGAAATTCTAATTATACTAAATTGCTATATTTAGTTGGTTTCGTACTTTAGATTTTGAGTTGATAACTTTGAGAATCTATATTTTGTTGCTTTGTATAGCATGCTTCTACGTTATTGAAATTGCATGAATGATGTGATTTATGCTAGAAATGATCTAGGGTTGCTTAGGATGCTCCCTGAGTCTCATCTTGACATTGACGTTAGGTGGCATGAGCCCCTTTAATATGTTTCACTTTAAGGTGATATAATTGTAAAATGCTAGGTCGATGTATGCTCATTTCCTATGAGTAGCTTTATGTTACTCACCCTGAAGTTACTGGGGATATTTTCAGGTATAGGAATCAAGGTTAGAGATTCTCGTTATGCTTGGATGATTTGTGGACTTGAAGGTTCCATTTTTGTGAAAGTTGGCTCGAAATGCCATTTGTAGCCTTATTTGTCAAATGTGTATATTTGATTCTAAACTTGTAATGTGTGACTAAGCACACTTTTTGATTCTTATTTTATGTATATGACATGAGGCTAAGGGCCAAACTTCTTTTGGAATTACATATATGTCATGAATGTTAAATCTTGCCTTTAATGAGAATATATGAAAAATCATGCGTTTTAGTATGCTATTTTGCACCGG